GAGATTTCATTCTTCCAAATGCTGACTGTAGTCACTTTTTAATTATAATGTTAATTGTATAGCCCTGTTGTAGGTCAAAACCTACACATGACTGAAACATACAGCCCAGAAGATCCAAGTTTGGTTCCTACTCTGTGCTAAGAGCTGATCCCAAGCAGGTTATTCATAAAAATGACATCCTCCCCAAGTTGGGGAGTGTAAAATTATTCTGTTCTTTAAGGCTATCCTCTGATTCCTAATAAGACTTTTTTGCAGACATCAGGTAGAATCTAGATCATTTGGCTCAGCTGTGATGCACACCATGACCACTATCCTGCTGACACTGGTCACCTTGGCACATACGTGAATGTCAGGTCAGTGTGAGGTATCAGCATGTGCATTGTGCTAGTGAGATTGGCCAGAACATGAACCAGCATTTTAGAGGAGGGAAGCAAATTGGGGAAAGGAAGGAGAGTGGGTTTAATTAGAGGAGGGCTGACACAAGCATAATGGGCCAAATGGCCTCCTTCTGTGCTGTATGATTCTATTAAAAGAGATGTGGTAAAAGAAACCCAACCATCTTATTCACCAACCAGAGTCTTGCCCAGTCAATGAATTCAAATTGTGCCCAGTCTGGAAGTGGATATTTGTAATCAGCTGTAAATAGTAAGTAATTTTTTTTTTCTCTTTAATTCCAACTGCAACCTTATTCTCTAAAGGATGTGAGGAATGTTATTTGCTTGTTGTTAAACCTATAATCTCTTCTTTTGCACTGTTTCCAAAGAAAATATGAACAAGTGATTGTTTCTCAAATGCTGTAGTAAAGTTTTGTGTGAGGACAAAGGGGGTAAACTGCCACCCAAACCATATAGTGTTTTGTAAATGTCTTTGAAAATGAATTTTCAAAAGTTTGTTTTTTAGGATTTTTAAGGGAGAGAGAAGTAGATTTACTTTCAGTATTTCAATAGCCTTGAAGTATAGGGAAGGTTTTGCACTTTGTGAAAATGTTCGCTAACTTCCATTCTCTAGTGAGGATGGTGTTCCAAGCTCCTATCTTCTTTATTCATCAAAACTGCTGGACATTAATTCACTGGCGTGGAAGATTGCTGGGAAGGACCTGGTTGTTAACTTGTATATACAAATATTAGGAAAGACAAATGCTTCCAGTCTTTCTCTGAAACATCCACTTCCTGTTTACCTTGTACCCTTGTGGTTCAGATCTTTTGTGCCATTGTTTGGAATATGAACACCTTTCTGATCCCTAAATTTGAGTCTGTCCAATAAAGGCAGAAATGTAGTGGAAACCTGGTTTGACATTAATTAGCCAGTCTCTTTCAGAGCACTAAGGATGAGAGGATGCTGATTCTGGGGACTGGAATTGCTGGAGTGCTTTTACTCATCAATTCTGCAGCTGCTTCAAACACCTCCTGTCCATGTGGTTCAAAATCTTAGTGGTCTGGCTTTAATGCAGGTTCTGTGGGCATTCTGAGCTGCTGCCAGATGTGCTAACTCCTTGTCTGTTAGAGGAGGAGTCTGGCCTTGTGCTGCTCTCCTCAAACCAGCTAACCGAAGCAGTCTGATGCTAACCACTAGCTCAGGTTCTGATTTCCACATGAAGAGTTGAAAAAGACCTACACAGAGCCTACTGAGGGAGTCTCTAGATGCCACATTGCCTAGGACCTTTTCTGCTCCCTATGTTTAACGAACAGGAAGTCCACACTATATTTAAACAAATTTGGGTCCAGCCAAAGGGTGCAATTCAATCTGTCTATACTGCTGCTGCAGGTTATCGTGCTGATGATGATTTTATAATGCTTAACCTGTACATGCTCAACTCTGTTTGCAAAAGCAGCTGGAACATTTTGCTTAATTATGTTTGTTACTGACTGTAATAGTGATATTACCTCACTTTGTGTACTGTCCGGGGAATCCTACATGTTACGTGTTTTCATTGAAATACATACAATCTACCTGTATGATATATTATCCCTGCTTTCCAAAATATTAATTTTTGAAGAAGAGCTGCTCAGGCTCATGGGGTAAATGGTAAATTTCAGTGGTCCTGTGACTTGACTTCACTTGTTTTGAATTGCTCACATTTATCCTTGTGGTTGCTTATTGAGTCTACTCTGATATGAAGGAAGTGTTCACATTATGGCTGGACCGGGGTGAATGATATCTACAGCTCATTAGCACGTGTGGCAGTTTGTACTAGAGATGTACAGTTCAGCTGCTCTTTCTGTAATCTATAACCTGCAGCCAGCCAAAATATTTGATTTACCTAGTTCTGTTTTTATTCAACCTTCTGTTGCTTATCCCAGCTCTTCACTGGGGTTCAGATTTAAATCCAAGCTCTGAATGTGGGTATTCAAACTGATCCCAATAGATAGTGCACCTGCTGAAATGGCCATTCTAACCCCATGAACAAGAGCAGTCATTTAGTAAGAACTTGCACTTCTCATGTTCTGTATTGGTTGTATATTTATTTATGGATGTCATTTATGAATTAAAATCTATAAAGAACAAAACTGAAAAATAAATCTGACTTTTGTACTAGAACAGAAATTGCTGGGAAAACTCAGCAGGTCTGGGAGCATCTGTGAAGAAGGAGAGTTAACGTTTCAGGTCTAATGACCCTTCTTCAGATTGTTTGTACTTTGTATCACATTTCATCTATCTGATCAATTGGTTAACTGATCTGGTCTCCTGAAGATGCTTAAAATCCTCCTGACATTTCCAATTTGTGTCAGCTACATATCTTGATGTTGTGTTCCACACATCCAATTCAGGTAATAGAGCTATATAGAGAAGTCCAGCAGTCCCAACACAACACAGTAGGACATCGCACCACCATCCAAATGTTACCTTTTAACCAACTTTCTGTCAATTCATATCACACTTCCACTAACACCACTGGGTCTTAAATTTAGCAGCAAGCTTCCCATTGAAGCATCTCCCACAGCCTGTTAGCTGTAGCGCGGTTGATCTTGTTCTCTACAGGTTTATAGCTATTCCATGGAGTTGAACACAAAAATCAAGGTTGATACAACACTATGCAACACAGCACGAGTCTTACACAATCAAAAATGTTGGCTTTTGGTTGAGATGCTAAACCGAGGATCTAACTACCATCTCCGGTGGAGATATATGATCCCACAGCACTACTGAAAGAAGAACAGGACAGTTTTCCTCAGTGTGCAGGCCAACAGTTGTAAGAACGATGTCATCAAAACTGGTTACCCGAACTGTAGGAATGGTGGGAGCCAGGTGAATGCTGGGGAGTCATTGCATCAGATCAGGTCCCTGTGACAGTCCAGACACTGGGAACGTTCTCAGCAGCAGGAACAACAGTGACTCTGCTGGCTACCAAACTGAGACCAATGTCCAGTTTGAGTGACTAATGCCCCAAAGGAGGCATGTATATTCCCCCTGAGCCTCTGATATTTGTCAGTGGAGGTATCACTCTCTGCCACATGGAGGGAACCTCTCAGGTTGTCAGAGATTGATGCATTTTATGGGCTGCTAGCAACAAATTGATACCCTGGTGACTCCAACAATACCATTAGAAAAGTTCCCCTCCACTCTGGCCAATACTTCTTGTGCCATATGCAAATTTATAACTCATTTTCTGAGGGTCCTCAAACCAAAGGAGCTCTCATGAGCTCCTTGTGGCCTCAGTGACTGTGATGTAGTTGCTGACACTTCAGGGTGGAGAGATGATGGGTGATGGTGTTATCGTTAGCCTAGAAAAGTTATAGGCTGGGACTTATTTCACTGAAGCGTAGAAGGTTGGGGGGCGACCTTATAGAAATTTATAAGATGATGAGGGATATAGATCAGGTTAATGGTAGGTGTCTTTTCCTGAGGATGGGGGATTTCAAGACTAGGGGGCACATTTTTAAGGTGACAGGAGAGAAATTTAAAGACACGAAGGACAATTTTATTTTACACAGAGGGTGGTTCGCGTGGGACTAGGTTAGTTTGGGATTATGTTCAGCATGGACTAGTAGAACCGAAGACTGTTTCTGACTCTATTAATCTAAAAATACGGATAATGTTCTGGGGATTGGAATTTGAATCCTGCTTTAGCAGATGGTGGAATTTGCATTAAATAAAAATCTGGAATTAGTAGTCTAATGATGACCATGATATTATCGTTGATTGTTGAAAGTACTTATTTGGTTTACTGATGTCCTTTAGGGAAGTGGGGGGAGAAAAGCCCTCGAACTGGAAAACTGACTTGCTTTAATCTGCCACCAATTCTCCCATCCCACTGGCTTCCTCATACACTCCCACTATCCTTGCATTATGATGGGGATATCTTATGAAGCCAGTCCGTAACCATTGCTATTTTTGCAATCTTGCTGTGTGAAAAATAGCTGCCATTTCCTGCATTGCTACAGTTCAAACAGTACGTTATCAGTTATGAAGTACTTTGTAATATCCTGAGGCCATGGCTGATCTTTTTTGGTGCTTAATACATAACAATAAACTGTGGAGAGATCTTTAATTTGAAAGGGGAAAATAGGCTGACAAAGCAAGAGAATATAGCAGCATTGGAAAGTTGGAAATGTCACGCCCTAATTTAGAAAAAAAACTGATAAT